GTAAACATTCCGGCTGTGTCCTCAGCAGGCCAGGATGGTTATGCACATTTATTCTGGAGTGATGGATAACCCCCTCAGGAAGAACTGAGGATGTGTCTTCTCAGCACAGCAAGTATGTACAGATGGTGAACAACTCTAGTTTCCTAGGCTTAGAGCCCCGTAAGAAATATTTGCTTTCCTTAAAATTATCTACAAACATTAGAACTTACTTCAGGGACCACATCCACCAAACAAACCTTCTTTTTGGCCATCACGGACCGAATTGCCTCAAGACTTGTGCCATACAGATTTTCTTTATATTCTCCATGTTCTACAAACCTGAAAAGTTAATACATTTTAAAATACTTTCCACAAAGAAAACTGAACTTGCAGTGTTTGGTAGTTACAAGCCATGGTAGTTAAACATATAGAAGAAAAAAAAAAATCAAGAACAGTGTTTCTTTTTATGATTGTTATGATTATTCTTTTTTCCTTCTGTTTTCTTAGTAACAATGGTCTTCTTCACATCAATAGGTAATCAGGACTATTGAACTAATAGAAGAAGCTGCATTAATTCAGTTGACTGATATACAAAGCTAATAGAAGAACGGGGATGTTTTTCACAGAGAGTAGAACAAAACTAGCAGGGAAATAAGACTTTAATTCTTCTGAATTCTAGGAGACTAGATTCAATTGAGGAAATTCCTTCTTTTAGAAAACACACGAGATTTTATATCTCTTTTATATCCCATCCAGCCCTTTTTTATCCCTTGATTCAGTCAACAAGACACTTTCAATTGAATTTAGGAATAAAACTTGCTAACGCTTCCCATTATATTAGAGTGAGAATAAGCAAGCCCAAACAAAGCTTGCTCACTTTGCCAGATTCAGTTCTGACAAATCACACTAGTTATGACATGCAGGGATGAATTCTAATTTTTCCTCCTCCCATCACTCCTATGTTTCTGAATTGCTTCTTACTAAACTTTTGGGTTTTGTACTAGCAGTCCAGGCTGAATAAAGAGGTTTAATTAGGAAAACTGAATCCTTCTCATGCAGCTTGTCCAACTTTGCATTTGATTTTGGTATCTGTATTGCTAAATTTTATGTATTTTTGAAATACAGTCAATTATGGAATATTTCAAAACACAACTCACTTGTTTTGCTGTACATCTGTCTCAAATGATTGCTTAGACACAAAATTGTATTCTACTCCCTCTTTTTCATGACTTTTCTTTGATCTGGTTGTATCTAGAAGAGATTAGAAGCAAGACATGGGAGACAAATAAGCCTTTGCAAACTGTATTTGTTGTATTTAAATCCAATCCCATTTTCATGTCCACAAACAAGGAAATCACATAATGATAAATTTAAACCAACATAAAATATACACAAAATTTTGTCTTTTTTTTTTTTAACTCAGTCTTCAATGATGCAGTAACACAAAAACTGGGACACTGACTTCTCAAACTGGTAGAAGTGGTTGAGTTAAGTTCTACAGCAAATAATCTCTCTTCTGGAAACAAGCTCTAAATATTTATGTTATTTAATTGTCTGGAATGGGAAACAGCAATAGGGTAGGGGGGAGAGAAGCACACAAAATTGCATTCTTCTCATTGCAGGTTCATTCATTCCCTGGTAATGTAGGAAATGGGCTGTGTTTTTTGTCAAGCGGTTGAGAGCACTTCTTTTACCCTCAATTATATTCCTACATTCCTGAGAAACTTGCATAATTACAGAACCATTTACCTTTGATGCTGACATTTCTTTTAGTATTTGTCATCTCTGTAACAATGACCAAAGTCTCAGTTACACAACTCTACGCTTGCCAATAAAAACGTCTGCTCTTTTTTTGTGTGCATGTTGAAATTCAATGGAAAATTATTTGCAGACAGAACAGACTGAACATCTACCTGACAATCTTTTGTCAAAAGTGTTAAACAACATATCAACAATGTCCTCAGTGTTGATTTTTTATTGCAAAAGTGGCTTGCTGGGGGATGCAAGTGTAAATGCGTCTTTATGCCTTAATAATACTTTAGACACTAAATTATGATACTAGCTACAAACCCACACAACAGAACCGTTAATTCCTGCACTCCTGTGACTGGTAGGTAAAAACATAACAGGTATGCTAATCAACAATTCAAAATATTGTAAAAAGTTTGGTTTGCTCTATTGTAGTCTAGGTATTTTAAGCTTTAATTGGTATGATATTCTAAGGAAAACTTAAGCCATTTTAAAATAATGAAGACAACATTGGCTTGACTAAATCTTAAGATATTTGTTTTCACATTGAGTTCTTTTTGAAAATTACAGTCTAGTATCTTTTTCTGTATGTAGTTTTTTGCTTTTTTAATGGACATTAAAAATGCAATCTGTTCACTTTGAAAAATGCGATGCAAAAATGGATTGTGTTAATCAAACTCTAGGTGCGTGTGTTCCAAGTCATTTAATCATCTACTCAACTATTGAAAAAAAGGCAAGCACAGTATGTGACAATGGAAAAATAGTATAATCAACAGTGGAAACAAAAACAGCAACCATACACCAATGCAGCTAGCATTATACTATGAAACGGGGAATAAAGTGGTGACACACAAATGTCAATATATTTTACATACGTGGAACTGCAACACCGTACTCCTGAGGGTTCTCTGACACAACCTTCTGCTTGAGCTCATTTAATTTGGCCCCCAAACAACCTAATAAAACAGAACTGACTTTCAGGAAAGAAAGACTGCAAACACAATAAATAAAATAAACTTCATGCAATTTATGACATGGGATTAAGCTTGAGGCAACTGTATAGAGAGACTTCACAGTCTATCCCATTCTAATTTGAATATCATTAGGAGGAAAGTGAACCCAGCTCTTGGCAAAGCACGTATCAGGCACTATATCAAAAAAATCTGTAATTTTAGCAGTTAGTTTTCTGGGATACCCCTAATTTCTAAAACATTATACGAAATGGGCTAAACACAAAGCTGCCAAGCTCACAGAGTTGAAACTACACAGAGCAATTCTAACACCTACCTTTTCATCTGCTGTTCTTACAGCATAAATGCCTCATAACTGAGTACGAACTGAACATCAATGGAAAATAAAACAGACCCACATCACAATTTTTGAATTTTTTTTTTTGGTATTACTAATTAAAAGAAGTGAGCAAACGTTGACCGAAAAAGAAACATCTTTAAAAACAAACAAACAAACAAACAAAAAAAACACCCAAGTAAACCTCTTTGGATGGGGATAAGGAAAGGAAGAGACACACAAACAAACAAAAAACAAAAAAAACACCAAAGTAAACCTCTTTGGATGGGGGTAAGGAAAGGAAGAGACATACATGTTAAATATTTCAAACAAATTGTGTATCTTACCAATCAGAACAATCAGTCTCTGCTGTTCACCAGGCTGCTGTTGATACTTAGTGACTTCTTCATATGTTAGTAACTCTGCTCTATCTGCCTGCTCCGCTTGCTTTGCATCACTTTGATTGCTCTCCTTCTCTTTACGACTTAATCTAAAGCTCCTGCGCAGGCCAGCTGGAGAGGAAAACACAGGACACATTATATCACATCTCACCTTACCCAAGCTTTTAAGGTCGTTCAGCTAGGACTTTGTCTTTCACTACTCTCAGAATTCTCTTTTTTATAATGAAATCAATGAATTAATCTAGTTTACAAAAAAAAAAAAAGTGTCCATTATTTTCTTTTGTGTATCAGATAGAAAACAACAAATGTACAAAAAAAGTTCAAGCCATCTTGAACTGACAAGCACTGGCTATGTCCACTATGCCCTTGCACAGAGATCATCTAGTTAATGAATTTAGTAAAAGTAACTCAAATGAAAAGAAACTGGTTTTGCTTTTTTAAATGACTTCTTTTATTTTACAGGGAAGAGGAAGGGATTTCCATTTCTCACCTATGTAGTGTCCATTGAAATACCCTTCACAGTCACAGTCCTCTGTAAATAAAAAACATGAGATAGAGAGAAGGAGACAGGGAGAGAAAGAGACGGGTATTTAACATAGTGCCTGCTACAAATAATAGCACAAAGATATTTGCCTTGGCTAGTGGTTTATAGTAGGATAAAAATGCAATATTTATGGTTTCCAGAACTCATGCTCTCAGCATCCATCGCTTGCTCTTTTAAGTATAAGCAAAATAAAATAAAAGACTTCTCAATCACAGGGCTCTATTTCTGATGTATGACTTTACATGTAGATAGGATTATGTAAGGATTATATTGCTGATTCTGTTATTATAAGGTCATCTGAGCTTGAAAAAGGAAAATGCAAGCTGTAATGTAATACGTATTTGTCTTCCTTCTGTGCCAATGTATAATAATAAAACATTATGCTTACAGGAACAAAAGATAACAGTAGCAATAACTCCTCCTATTCACAGCTACGACCAGGACTGTTTTGTCTTTTTGAAGATACACTCTAGTCTCACAATTCCTGCTTCCTCAGGGCACACCAGTCACAGACAGCTCATTATAGAACATGATTTGTGCTTTCACCAAAGTCCATGCATTACCAATACTTGGCATTTTATTGTCTAGAACTACACGTGTAATCTGAAAAAAATAACAGCATCTTGGCCCATTAACAAGTGCCTGGTATTTGGAAAGACGTGGTAATATGACTCAACCTCCATGAGCCTAATACAGCCACATACAGACAGGGAGACTACCTACCTTTATCAGAAGACTGATCATCTGCAGTTAGCATAAAAGATAGAGTTGATATGATTAAAAGACTGGTAAATGAAGGAGTAAAATTACAGCGAGTGGAAGGGAAGGAACTCTTGATTTGCTTATCATACTTTTATATCTTGAACAAAAATTAAGTAGCGAAAAACTGGTCAATCACCTTTTCTTAAAATTTAGCATTAAAAACAGTTATCTGCTTAATTATCTTCTCTGAGAATGTCTGACTAAAAGCCTAAGTAGAAATCCTCATTTTATGTCTCCTATCACAGAGGGAAATGGAAACTAATTTGGAAATGCTTCATGTAAATTAGTAATGCTATTTTACAATAAATTGAGCATCATCCTTCTGCTTTGTAAAGCAGAGATATGCAAAGCAAACTGGGATCAGAACTTCACCTACGCCACTGAAGCTGGAGCACTTGTTTCCTAGTCTATTGGCAGTATTTGTATTCAGCTTGGAGGTGACATTAGTGGCAGTGTGGCCTCACATAGCTGGGTGGCTCTCCCACCCAGCAGTAACAGCTGTGCTGAAGTACCCCAGAGCACAAATAACATTACACTCTGGATCACTACAGAATCTGTCTTTTCCCTTCCATTAGTGACTCGCAATTACACCCCAAGCAGCAATTTTTAAATGAATCTTTCTCCGACAGGGGATTTGGAGCTGTAAACACAAACTGCTTTAAAGTCTACCTAAGTACAGCTCAGTGACACCAAGAAATGGGACAGTAAAGCTAAATTCTTTCCATAACCTGAAATGCAGATGGTATTGCCAGCTCATATGATTTTTACCCTCTTTAAAGCTCCAGTTTATTTTCATAGACTTAGGCCATTATCATACATATATAAGAGTTCCAAGACAGGTGCACTGAGTTTGTTTGGCCGTTATAAAGCTTCAAACTGTTGAAAAATATGAATTGTAACATTCTGAAAGCAACTAACAGAATTCAAAACTACTAAAAAACATGTAAGATCTCATGTTCTCAAAAGCAGAAAAGGGACAGTAGCGTTTTTAAACTACTGGACATTGGCAGCACTGGATAATCAAAAATCAAACTCAAAACCAAATCCTCCCATGTGACAACATGTATCCAAGCAAATTAATCCACAACAAAAAAAAATGCTTAAAAAAAATCACAGAAAACTACTGAGATGTTGATATCATCTAAGGCATCATTGAAGGAACAAAACAGACTTACAGAGTGGCTTCTTCACAGTTTTGGAATTCTGCAGAGTGCCTACAGTTCTTCTGTAACTCAATCGTCTAAACAGAAAATAATTACATTTTATCAACGTAAGCTCAGAGATGTGAAGAATTTATATGTACAATATTGAAAGTGAAGAACAAAACAGTGCTGCTTCTTGAAGCAGTGTAACAAATCTCTGATGGAACCAGCATGGGGGAAGTTTAACATGCGGTGCCAGGCATCTCAGAGGAGAGTGAACACAGAAATCAGTAGTATAGACTTAGGCCATTATCATACATATATAAGAGTTCCAAGACAGGTGCACTGAGTTTGTTTGGCCGTTATAAAGCTTCAAACTGTTGAAAAATATGAATTGTAACATTCTGAAAGCAACTAACAGAATTCAAAACTACTAAAAAACATGTAAGATCTCATGTTCTCAAAAGCAGAAAAGGGACAGTAGCGTTTTTAAACTACTGGACATTGGCAGCACTGGATAATCAAAAATCAAACTCAAAACCAAATCCTCCCATGTGACAACATGTATCCAAGCAAATTAATCCACAACAAAAAAAAATGCTTAAAAAAAATCACAGAAAACTACTGAGATGTTGATATCATCTAAGGCATCATTGAAGGAACAAAACAGACTTACAGAGTGGCTTCTTCACAGTTTTGGAATTCTGCAGAGTGCCTACAGTTCTTCTGTAACTCAATCGTCTAAACAGAAAATAATTACATTTTATCAACGTAAGCTCAGAGATGTAAAGAATTTATACGTACAGTATTGAAAGTGAAGAACAAAACAGTGCTGCTTCTTGAAGCAGTGTAACAAATCTCTGATGGAACTAGCACAGGGGAAGTTTGATGTGGTGTATCAGGCATCTCAGGAGAAAGTGAACAGAAATCAGTAGTAGACAAATTAAACTCAGCTCCAGCTCTCGGAGAGCCTGAAAATTAAGATTTTGTGTCCTGCAATTTGAACCACAACCAAAGTCAGCCTTGCTCATTTCAATTCTAATTGAATGTGGCCTGGAAAAACCATGGCTCTGCTTATTACAGGATAAGCATTAGAAATTCAAAAAGCATTTCTTAAATTCTGTGTGTACAAGTAACAAGTACTTAGTATTCACTCTGGCACGCTCCTGACTGTTCTCTCCTGTGTTGCTATCACAAAACTGAAAAAACACTTTTCTGAAGCTGTCAGATCATGGATAAGATCATGGATAAAGAGAGACAAAAAGTAGTGTAAAATAAGTGTAACACCACATAGTGTATTGTGGTAATTTTTACTGACAAACCTTTCTTGGAATTGCTTTGAGGGGATCAAGCCTGCCCTGAGGTTGGTATCTCCGACACGCTTTGCTTGCCACCACGTGGGATCATCTTGGCTGACAACTTCCAGGATATGTCTCTTCTTAAATGGCAGCCCAGCCTCCTGGCAGGGAATAGCCCTGTCTTCATTGGGATTATAGCAGAAAAGTGCCCTCATAAAAACCTTCAAAAAGAAACACATGCTTTCATCTTATCCTATCTGGAATTTCAAATAACCTTTAAAAGATATTTAAATTATTAATCTTTAATTATTACATCTTTAATTATAAAAACCATACACTTCTTATCTTTCGTTTATGTGATGTTACATAAAAATAGTGAGATCTCACAAGCCTATTCTGTATTTTGACTTACCACCACTCATGAAGAAAAATAAACCAACTTTCAAGCACCTACTCAATCATCATGCATTGGTATTGCAGAACATGAAGCTCAAAGCCCCAAGGAAACAAAATTCACACTCTACGCAAGTACAAAGTGCAACAAGGAAAAAAAATTAGGAAATCAAGATAACATTAAAAAGACATGTATAGCAAAGTTGACTGATTAAACACTGTCTTTAGAATGCTGCGTTAATGCATCAAAATCTACTAATCATGTTTGGATTTGTTGCAAGCAAGCTGACACCACAACACACAACAGCAAAATCACTTTTAGAAGTAGTTTCATGGAGGTAAACAAGAAATTATGAACTGAGAGAGGCAGGCGGTAATTGAGATTGGCAAAGGAATCCTTTAAGGGACTAACAGGACAACAAGTCATTGCTCATCACAGAGGACAATCCAAAGCCTCAGACAGGTGCACTGATATTTGTGTGCGGAAATACAACCAGGCTGGAACAAGAGTTTTAAATAAACAAATCAAAACAAAAGGCTAGAAATGCTATGAAAGAACATGTGCCACCATTTAGAAGACAGAAGACATCTAAGTAATTGTACAGAATAAAATAACAAATGTTTCTCTGCCAAACATTGCTCTGCTATTTCTTTAACTGAATTTTGGGGTTGATTCTGTGAAAGTCCTCACTGAATCAGGAAGGATCTTGCACTTGCAGAAGTGCCAGAACAGTGCAAGTGTACAAAGTGTGTCTGAGTATTTCCCCAAGTTGCATACCTTGCTATCCTTTAGACGATCTTCTTCTTTGATAGCTGGAATTATTTTTAATATTATGGATCCCTGAGACTGAGCCTGAAAAACAGAAATGTTTCTTACTTTGAAAGTAGTACAAAGAAGCCTAGAAGGGAATAAACTAGAATGGAAACCTGGACAATCAATCTGGACTTGAACCTTTGTAGGTCTCTCTCATAAATAAAGCATGAAAAGGAAACTATTACAATGCAGACATTTAAAACTGGACAAAATTAATACTATCCCAAAGTCTCCACAAATAACCAACTTTCTACAAGTGTCTCAAAAGATGCTTTTGATTTTTTTCCCTGAATTAAAAGCAGTTATTCTCAGAATATATTTGGCATATGTATTCAGAATAATTTTAATGTAAATTTAAATTAGACGATGGAATTGATGACAGATGCTTCAATCTCTTAGTGTTGCCTTTTTTCTTACTGAGTCCCTAACTCTGCTCCACACCAAGACAAGGCACAGCACAGGAGAAAGAGACGAGTGTGACAGCTAAGACACTTCATGCAACAGAGCAGGCTCATCATGGATGTGGAGGCTTAGATGCAGCTACTGATATTTATGGTTATTAAATCTAGAGATAATGCCCCAGGGAATGCAGCAGTAAAGAACAGACGGACAGCTCTACAGGACACACAGATCAGGCTTCCTTTAGCCTCCGAACACACTACACAAATAAACTATTTCTGTTATAGAAATACGCTTCTCATTTACAATTTACTTGTCACACACCAAGCACATAGGTAATGTTCTTGACAGTTACATGCAACTTCTGCATATGTATCTTATTTAGAAATGAGTCAGTTGCATAGAACTCGCATGAATGAGTTCTCAGATGCCAGTTGAAGACTATATAATCCACTGGAGGAAAAAGAGCTCTTGATGCAAAGATTGACATATATTCCATCTTTTAGTACCATATTTTAAACTCATAGACAAATTTCATCATCTGTTGTGGTTACTACATCACTCGACACACACATTGAAAAAAATATATATCTTAAAACAGGTGCAGACCAAAATCTGACTAATTTCTTCAGGTCGTTTGTGAAGCACAGCAATACCATTGACTTCTCTTAGTTCATCTCCAACATGGACAAGACCTGGAAAGATGATAATTAAAGTAAGCCCACAGGCTGGAAAGTGCTGTTCTTCTAACGTCCAATCTATGTTAACAGTATGCACACCCTACGGAAACGGAGTCCCTACTACAGCCAAATGCTTCTGTTGGCAGCGTGCTCTGAAGTCTCCTGACCTTATTCTATATGGCATGTTTTTCAGTGAACCACAGTAACATCAGCCAACAGTAACTGCAGAAAGAGAACACGGGCCAAAATACTTCGGGAAATCAGTGCCTCTGATTTTGGATCAGCACTAATAATGCAAGACTGGAATAGTTTCATTTTTCCAACAGCTATTTTACAGCAAAGCAGCTTATCCAAATAACAAACTACCAATGAAACACAGAAATGCTAAACACACTTTTTAGCCACACTGCATCACATTTATCAGACTACGATAATAAGAAAAAATGCTAACAACATTCAAAAAGAAAGATGTAATTAGCTAATATTTTTTCATCACAGCAGTTTATCCGTTTTGTGATTGTATTACTACTGTTCTATAAAAAAAAGTACGTAAGGCTTGGATTCTATAAATCACACTTAAGACTCAATGAGACCAAACTTATTTAATACAATCTGTAAGAGTAGCTTCTGGAAAATGCAAGGTCAAATCCTGTGTGAACTGACCTTCTGCAGCCTGAAGGTACGCTGAAGGACAGTGCACACACAAGTCTTTCTGTCCCCACACAAGTGAAATTCAGCTATCAGTGAGCTCATCAGGCAGGCTTTCCTTATAATCAATGAGGGAAAAAGGCAGTTCCAGCAAGTGACTTGTGCCAGGCTGAAACTGTCTGGGATGATTCATCCTCCAGAAATGATACATTAAATACTATTTTAGACTTGACATATAACAAGCTGGCTATCTAGTCAGATGAGCTGCTTGTTTAGCACAAAACAGTCTACACATGCATTAAACAGCAGTGTCCAAAGGACTGGTTTTGTTAATGAATAATCATTAGGTTTAGTTAGATTTTACTGTGGGTATAATGCATATGTGTGCATGCATGTTTTTGGCAATTTACAACAGTTTATAAATGCTATTTTGTATCTCCTTTTCTTCAGAAATTTACCACTGCGATCAGCTGCACCACCTCTCATGATCCTTGCTACAATCACAGCCCCTGTATGCTCATCTCTTCTGATGGTAGCTCCCTGAAATAAAACATACCCCCACAAAGTTGCTCAGAACACACTCACTTAGCAGTGAAGTAACATGTAAGCTAGTATGTCCTTTACATGGGAATTCATTTTTTTCTATATATTTTGTCTCCTTCCTTGAATATTTCCACCATTATCCATTTTTTTTGCCTGTGCATGTCATGTGATTATAAGAAGGTGCACGCATCCTGAGTGTTCACACTACCTACATGACACTGGTAAGTTATGTTGAATGTTTATACTACCTACACTATGCCAGCAGTCAAAGCCACTTGAGTGGGCAAAGCAGAATTTACTGCAATAAACTTTCTCTGTGTGTCTTCTGAAACCTACACAATAAAGCCAGCACTTTTATGTACAAAAGCAAGGAAAGTCAGTTAATTTGGTATTGTCTTCTCCTAGGTCTGCTGGCAATATAATGCTTTACCCAGAAATTAAGACATCTTTCTCTTTTACTATGTACTGTATTGTATAGTTCCAAAACACCCTTTAGTAGATTTCTTCCCCAAAGTACTTTTTTGCCCCAGGAAATTGATCCTTCCATTTTCATATTTATATAAAAAGAGTACCTTGTCAATATATTGTTTGCATATTGCTATCGAACATACTCTTACCATATACCACTGAAGGAGAAGGTATGCCCTCATTCAATTAATGTGCGTAGCAAGTATAATTAATTTAATATACACAGCACCTCAGTGCTCCCTTCAAAGTGGCGTTTTGCAACTCGTGTTTATCAACTGCCTCATGAAAAATCTTGAATGTGTGTTTATCAAAGTCATCTTTTTACGTCACGTAACTAGCTTTGTAACACTCCTATTTTTGCAGACTATCTGATGACATCTTCAAGTCCCTCCCCCATATTTACAACAATGCTTTTGTACCTGAGAATTTTAGTACTAGAGATGGACTATATAGTATGTACCAAAGGTTCTTTATTTTTCACTAGCCGAACAATTTTCACTGATTCTTCATCAAAATCATCATCAAAGTTACTGGGCAAAGGTGGAAGGACTGGATCAAAGTTCTTCTGTGCTACAGTATCGTGCACGACAAGCATTGCCTGCATAAGGAAATAGGAAACAACAATGTAATGGAGCAGTATCACAGTTTCCAATTCTCAAGTTTCAGCAAGACACCAAACTTTTTATTTTATGGATTTTGTGAAAATCCATACAGAAGTTCTATCTATAATGGGAACAAATGATTTATTTTTGGTCTTCTGGCTACAATACTGAAAAGGTTCATATTTAATTTTATTCTCTACTCTGCTTTTAGTAATGAAAAAAAGATAATAACCTACTTTACTTTCAAAGGGCAACAACATACATAGTGAAAAAAATATGGGATGTTTTCTTTTCCCATTTCCTCTCCTGTACTTTCGCAGAGACCAGTATTATCGCTGACATCACTAAGTGATAGTGTAGTATGTGTTGGTATACAAAGTAAGCACAAGAATTAACAAAATACAACCTAAATAAATGTATAGAATGGAGGTGGGCTGTGGAAAGCAAAGAGCTCAGAAATTGAGTACTTTTCTGCTCCCTTAGGAAATACTAAGGAGGGGAGAAAATCTGGACAGTTATTTATGGAAAGACTACACTGTGTCTTCTCAGGCCCCTTCACATCCTAAAACCTGTGGCAATAAATGGAGTAGAACTGCACTCTGCAGGAGGCTTTTCCTTTTTGTTAGTGACTCTTCATCGTACCTGTCTCTTAACACAATGTTTTGCTACAGGTATGCAAAGGAATTTCATTAAGGTCTCTTATTTAGTGTTGTTTTACCCTGAGATGGGGTGTTGACAGCAGCTGAAGTAGCTCTTTTTCTTCATTATTCACTGGTGCTGTCTGCAATTCTTCTATTACCTTAGAAAATAGAAAAACAGTTATCTTCAAAACAAAAGGCATTCACTGAACAAATTCATATATTTACAAGTATACTTTCTGTTGAGCCTTTACTAATTTCTATTACTCTTTGAATAAGCCTGTATAGAGCAAATATAACCCCAATAAAATATGCAGGAGTCCTAAAGGAAATTAAAGCTTCTTAATCGACTTCCTTTAGATTTTATTTAAATTATTGATTATACTGCAGGAAAATGTAATCAGAAACAGGGATCTTAGCCCCTAAATATACCTTTTTAAGAGTGTTCCAGTCAGCATAATTTCAGGAAAAAGTCCTGAAGTTTTTAATCCATATTTTAAATTGTACTCTTGTGTTTCATTGCAATAACACAGTTTAATCCTCTTCCTAACCAAACAGCATTATCTGTGTGCATCATGCAACAGAAGTTTGTTTCCCTGCAAAACCTGAACTCAGACTTTTTTTTAAAAAAAAAAAAAAACCTTTTCAGGAAACATGCACAAAGTACCAAAGTACAACTTGCTCTTTTCTCTCTGTGTGTGTCTTCATTGGACATGAAATGACATGATATTGCTGAGGTTACATTTCCTCCTCAATTATGAGTGAAACTTGCCAACTTCCAAAGACAACTGGGAGGGAAGGGGGGAGGAAACGGAGACACAACTCTTACGTCTTCAACTAATCCTGCTGCACTGTGTAAAACAGGAGTTGGACTCTGTCTTTCATAATGACGGAGTTTTTCATGAATCTGAAAAAGATTATTCAGGTATATTACCACAGAGATATGTAAAACTTCTTAAATATAAAAATATTCCTATGTAGATATATTTAACTGGTATAACTTTGCCGAGCTATAGCTGTCAGAAAAACAATCTCTACTGGGGTTATTTTTGTTTTGGAGTATTTGTTTTCCATTTTGCTACTGCTGGTTCCACAGACAGTCAGTAAAACACTAAAGGAAGATAAAGCCATAAAATAAAAGCCATTTCACATTGCCTTTCAATTACTGGGTTACTAGCCTGCATTTTTACAACTACTTTACACTAAGTTGTAGGTATAAAATGTTCTTAATGCCACAAAGCATCAAACAAACCTCAAGAATGGTCCTTACAATTCAGTGCGACTTTCAGTCAGCATCAAGTGGAAATTTATTTTTTGAACAAAATTTCTTAATTTTCATTGAATGTTCTTAATGTTTGTGCTTGAATAAGTACGTGCTTTTGTCAGTATAGAACTCTATACAAAAACAAGTTGGTTTTGGCAAACGAAATGATTAGCAGCACAGAAAATAACTAACCTGTGAAGAAAATGTACACTCATAAAAGAAATTTTTACCTTCATTAGGTAACTGAGACTCTTTTCACTGAAGACATCCCTAAGGAATCCCATTTCCTCTTTATGATTTGAGTCAGGTCTCAGCTGAGAGGTCAGGAGAGCCAAGGTTTCATGTAACCCTATATTTAAAGGCAAGACAGAACAGAAGTTTTGTAGATAACATGTTTTAAATGATTTCTATTACAGACTTGGTCAGCTATGTTTACTCACGTACCATGTTGGCGATTATTAAGTTTACAGAGATTTGTGTGTGCAGCGGCCTGTTCACAAACATGATCCCAATGCCCAAACAGAAAATGTTAACAGGCTACACAGCAAGGGTCCTTTGGGAAGAAACCTTTAACACGCATGTGTGGAAACCAGTATCATCCCGAGAGGTCTGGGTTTACCCGTATGAGCCTGGCTACCAGCTAAGGCTGTTAGAAAACTAATGACCCCTGAAATCTAAATATATTCAGTTCCACCTTTTATGATCCATCTTCCTTGATTCTTTTAAGTAACTACTAAGATGTTTAGTCTAGCCATCTCAATTCTATTTTATCCAATTACAGGCTGAAGTAGCATCCTCTGTGAAAAGCATGCACCCAGGTTTCAGTAAGTGACACGATTACAGCATGCGGGTAAGTTACCTGAGTCTTCCGAAAGGACGGGCATGGCTGTCTTCTTAATCTTAGAGGTAAACGTTCGACTTAAATCAAAATGATTTTTTCTTCTTCCTGGACTGTGATTCACGGGCAGTCCTGGAGGGATGGAAGATGATACCTTTGCTAAAGCATCTGAGACAAATGGAGATTATGTAAAAAGGGTAAATTTTTGGTATGTCTCTCTTGGAAGAGCCCATTTTAACCTGAACTTTCCGGAGTGGCTAACGGGGATTGTGTTCAACCCTCTCACCGGGGATCGCCCTGGCGATCTGCTCAGAGGAGGCACCTGCGCGCCCAGAGCCGCAGCGGGCACCGCTCGCTCGAGGCTCCTCCTCATTCCCCGCAG